TATAGGGACTGTCACTGGTCTCAATGGCTCAATATCCAAGTGGAGACCAGTGACGACTGGTGTTCCTCAGGGGTTGGTATTGGGACTGGCACTGTTCAACAGTAACGTTGACAGTGGGATTGAGTTCTGTGGGTTTTCATTGTGTTGTCTCTCTTCACAAACAGAAGAAGACAGAAATCAGCCTTTCTGCTCTCACCCTGTGAACGCACTGCGTAGACACAAGGGATGCCACAAACTCTTTCTGATGCATTTCAGATTTAAAACACTAAGCAGACAAAACATGCACTGAGCCAAGGCCACAGAGTCATTATAATGCTGATAAACCCTACCTGAACCCTGTGCATTGTACAGACCAAGGCCAAGTTCCCATTCAGTGCTTTTATCAGTACCCCCAGTGGCAAGGCCATGGCTTGGCAGCATCACCAGAACACTAACTATGAGTAAGAATTTCCAACCTACATGTTTCTCTACTAGTTTGCCAAGCTGGGACTCAGACCCCCCCTACACACACACACACTTCCCCACTTCCCAGATGAAGAAAGCAGGAGTTATTTTCTGTTTATTTCCACTGGGAGCAGCACATCCTTGTGCACCAGTGGAGGAAAAGCAACCAGCATCACAAACCCATGAGTAATCTCTGTAACAAACAGGCATCATAAATATACTCAGGAAAAAGACCTAATAAGCTGCGTGGGCCTGATGCTCATCTGCTCAGTATCCTTCATAGCCATTTATGTTCTGACAGGGCATAGGATGCAAACAGTTCATCATCTCTTTTTTTAAACTTCTATTTTGTTCTGCACTACATCATAGAATCCCAGACTGGTTTGTGCTGGAAGGGACCTTAAAGCTCATCCAGTTCCAACCCCCTGCCACGGGCAGGGACACCTTCCACCAGAGCAGCTTGCTCCAAGGCCCTGTGTCCAACCTGGCCTTGAACACTGCCAGGGATGGGGCAGCCACAGCTTCTCTGGGCACCCTGTGCCAGCGCCTCAGCACCCTCACAGGGAAGAGCTTCTGCCTAAGAGCTCATCTCAGTCTCCCCTCTGGCAGGTTAAAGCCATTCCCCCTGGTCTGTCCCTACAGGCCCTTGTTCAAAGCCCCTCTCCAGCTTTCCTGCAGCCCCTTTAGGCACTGGAGCTGCTCTCAGGTCTCCCCTTCAGGAGCCTTCTCTCCTCCAGGCTAACCCAGCCCAGCTCTCTCAGCCTGGCTCCAGAGCAGAGCTGCTCCAGCCCTTGCAGCATCTTGGTCTGTTTCATCCTTATTCACAATTCTACTTTCATCTTAACTTGAGGCATTGACGGGCACACTCTGGTGAGTATTGCTGTGGCAGCTGAAGATGTGACTGCTGTCACTTGGATGTATTACTGCATCAGAGCTGTCAGAATGAACACATGCTGAGGCTTCTACCCGACAACACAGCCAGGCTGGTAGAGAGCTCATAAAGATGCATCGGAGTGAAGACACTGGATGTTGGAGAGGAGCAAAATGTAGGCACACCTTCCCTTCTGCTGACTTTGCTGGAGGGATGGGAGCTCCAGCCTGAGGTGACAGCTTACAGCTGGGGAATGGAAACATCTTGAACTGGTGCAGATGTTGCTAAGTGACAGAGCCCCATTTAGCATTCGAATTCCCCAAATTCAACTAATTTAGCATACAGGTGGTAATTTCTTACCTTAACTATAGCTGCATTTTATGTTCCTGTTTGCATTTGAGCCTGACAATAATGGGAGAAATGAATCTAAATCCCTAATATTACCTGGTTTCACCATTCTTTAGTGCATCCTGTAGCCAGATACACAATCATGTCCCTTCTTGAGCAGCCTGCTGTAGTGGAAGGTGTCCCTGCCCATGGCAGGGGATTGGAACTGGATGAGCTTTAAAGTCCCTTCCAACCCAAACCATTCCATGCTTTACATCTGTTACTTTAATTGCAGCTTGCAATGAAACAACCCATCTAACACTTGAACTGCAAGCTAGTCTCTTTTAGAAGCAACTGAAATAATTCTTTGGAAAGCCAATCAGGAAGCATTCAACTCTTCCTTGCTGCTTTACTTGTAGAGCTTGCTTCCTTCTAGCTTGCAAACATCAGCATTTAAGATCAGCCTGGCACTGTGAAAGTGCTTACTCGGCATTTCATCACCGGCCTGAGTCCTGCTGGGTTTTGTGATACTGCTCCTGTGCCAGTGTCAGATGGATTTAAGCACAGCAACCCTCACATGCTCATGCTGAAACCTGGTGGGTCCTGAAGCTGCGTGTTAAAACAAGAGCTTCCACTTGGATGCACTTTGCTTCGGGGATCGGCTGAGAAGTCAGAGCCTGATACAGATACCTTGCAACTGGATACCCATGAGAATGAGAGAGCTCAACTGAAAGAGATTAAGCAGCTCTTTGTACCTCCTCCCCTGTGAAGTACAGAGAACTGAGAGCTTCATTGTGTTCTAACGGCTCAAAGCTTAAAGGGGAAAACCAAGTCCTTCAGCAGGGTCCTCTTCAACCTGGTTTTATTACATCTGCTGTTCCCAGCAGTCGAGGCTTATGTGCACCGAATAAAGACACAGATTTCACAACAGAGCATCGTCCACCCCAGAGCTCCAGTGTTCCCACCCCCTGTGAGCAAGTAGCTTTCACAGCCTGTTTCAAACACATCAGCGCTCAGCTCCCTTTCTGTTCCTTGAAAACCATTTACTTTACAGCTCTAGGCCCTTCTGCTCCATACCCCCATTTACATCTTCCTGTCTGGGTGGGGTAAAGGCCACCAACAACAGAGGGGGAGTTTCAGTTTCATGTTTTATTGCAAGGCTGCTCTCTGCTAACACAAAGCCTTTGGGCAGAGGTTGGAATCTGATGCACAGGGTGATTCTGCTTCTTCCCTGCCTGCTGAAGTTTAGGTGTCTGGATGACTGCATTGAGTGAACTCTGTTCCACCAGGTTTCTATTTGCTGCAGCTGGGAGCATCCAGAGGCAGTTTAAAGGATTGAGCTGGTCTGAGAACAGACCTGGAGACAGGAATGCCTGAATTCAGGCAGCATAATTGCAGTAGCTTTGCTGCACGGCCTGAGGCTACTGCTTGAGCTCTTACCTCATCTTCCCCATCTGCAGTGCTGCTCACAGCATGGTTTGGTGATTAATTTCTGCTGATGCAGTGAATTATTTGGGAAGAACTGAATAATTCGATAAGAATCTCTGCGTATCCCAGAAAACGTGGCAAAAAGAAAACCCAAGGAGCCAGCCCTATTAAAACAAACCCAGACAAGATGGTGAGTTCAGCACAGAAACCTCATCACAGGCATTATCACCAGTTACAACCAGTGCAACTTGAGGTTCCTCTGATTCCAGGGGCAGCTTGACAGCAATGCAAAGTGTGAGGATGCCGTGTTCCTGAAACCTTAGCTTACAACTCTTCAGCATTCTTGGTTCTGTTATAGAAGAACTTCATCCTCTGCTCCTTTATATTCCTCAGGGGACCTTGAGCAACCTGGTCTAGTGGAAGATGTCCCTGCTTGTGGTACTGGATGAGCTTTAAAGTCCCTTTAACCCAAACCATTCTATGATCTATGTATTGTGCTAAGGCAGCTGGTGACAAAGCTCAAGGGGATTTATGTTGTTAGCTTGCAGTTCCTGCAGGTACATACAAGGAAGCAATTGGAAAGGATTCTGCAGTATAATTTATGAAGATTTCCTGTGTCCTGCAGAACCATCCGTGACTCATCAGCGATTTGGACAGCACTGAGATGTACATCATATCAAAGGAATTCTGCAGGGCCAGCTCTCTTGGCAGCCTCACAGTGATCTATATCTCCAGTGCAACTTTGGTTTTAGTGTGACCAACCAGTATAATTGAATTACCAGTGTCACTGTCCTCAGCCAAACTGCCTCTGAGCTTTTATAGCTCCCTCTGTTGAATTAACCATCCAAGCTGCTTTTTACCTGACAACACAGGTTCTCCATCTCTCCAGCTTTTTGATGAGTTAATAATTAGAACCTTGCTTGGTTTATGACGCTTTGCATGCTCCAGGTCAATCACAGAATGGTTTGGGTTGGAAGGGACCTTAAAGCTCATCCAGCTCCAGCCCCTGCCACGAGCAGGGACCCCTTCCACTAGAGCAGCTTGCTCCAAGCCCCTGTGTCCAACCTGGCCTTGAACACTGCCAGGGATGGGGCAGCCACAGCTTCTCCGGGCATCTTATGTTGCTGAAAACCTTTCCTTTGCACTTTAAGAGGCTTTAACTGTATCGATATTTGAAGCTGCATGAACTATCCCAAATTCAGTATAGGTTTTTCAGCTGCTCTATAGTATTTGTGTTATAATCCACTTACTCCACCTTGGACACAACACAAGCAGGCAGGAGTGAAGGGTGGTGGTTTCCTATTTTCACAGCTTGGAACACCCGGAGAGCCCGTGTCTGTCAGTGCTCTGCAGTTCTGGGTTGCTATTCATGTAACCCAGTGAGGCAGAAGAGCAGTGATAAGGGAAAGAGCAGGGAAGATTTCTCCCTGCAGTTCATTCTCCAGGGTTTTGTTCGGCCCAGTTTTAAATGGCTCAAGCTGCTGAAGTGATTCAGGCTCTGACATTCTGGCAGGGTGTGAAACAGAATCTGGCAGAGGTGCTGGGACTGAAGGGCTGGTTTTGTTCCCGTTGAAACCTGTCACAAATCTCCCCCTGCTTTCAGTCAGAACAGGATCAGCTCCTCAGACTCATTCTGTTTGAATCCGCTCAGCAAAACCAGCAGAAGAATCTAACTTTGTTGTACTCTCTTACAATCCCTTTTGGGTTCACCCTCCTCTGTTTCAGTGTCCTCCAGTGCAGCCAAGGCTTTCTATGCAGGGAAAGGAGCTGCTTTTGTTAGGCTCTGAGTAATAGCCCTGGATTAGCAGTCCCTGTCTGATGTCTCATTCAGACTCTTGCATTGCCTAGTTGGTTTCTCTTAACCCTGATACTGGAAGTGAAAGCCCTCCAGAGCCATACTTTAAAAATCAATGAAGAGAGGAAAAGCTAATTGATTTTTGCATTCTTTTTATGATTAGTTCCTTTATAAGGGAGCCCATTAAACTTGGGCACTCCCTGATGAGAGGGAAGTTTACTGCAGTCTGCTTTACCCCACTTTCAGGCTCAGCTCCCTTGTTGCCTTGATCTTACAGCTTTCTTTTCTCTCTTCCCACTCGTAGGTAAAGGGACGCGTTAAGAATGACACAGTTTGGGACAATCTGGATTCATTTCACTTTCAGAAGTGGTGTTCTGGATTTCTTACTGTTTCAGCAGTTATTGAGTTCAAGTTACATGTAAATCCGTTTCTGCCCTGTTCTTCCACTTGCCCCCAGACAAGGATTTCTCTCATCGTAGGTCTCTAGTAAAATAGAGAGAAGGAAAAGACAAGTGATTCTGATTTATATCATCTGTGTGATATAAACCCATCACCTCTGCAAGCTGGATCTTGGAAAGAAAACCTGTCACAGAGTGCTCTGGTGGGAGCACTGTTCTGGGCAGCAAATGGACATTTTGGCTAACATCAAATCAGTGTTTTTCTGAGTTCTGTGTATTGAAGAGAGATTAAAACCACAGTTCTGGGGCAGCCCAGAGACCCTGTTGCCACCTGAGGCCAGGAGAGTGACCCAAACGGCTCCAAGAAGACCCTGCCATACAACACCACAGACCAGGACCACTTCCTTATACCAGCAGCCAGCCTGGTGCCAGCCTGGAAGCAGCAACCATCACTTGTGTGCTTTGATTTCTGCAGGTATTTTGCAGTCTGGAGACATGTTCTCATGTGCTCGAGATGTTTGTCTGCCTTTACCATGCTGTTCTCCACACTTCCTGCACTGTCAGCAAGTTCCTTCATGCTTCAAAGGCCCAAGTGAATAAGCACCATTTACCACCTCCCCTTTCCCCCCCCTTCATCTCTCAGTGGTGCCCCTCCAGCTCTCCCTGGCTGCCTCCTTTGTCTGCAGCACTGCCATGAAACACTGCCTGTGTTTTACAAAGCAGAGTTGCTGCCATGAGTTCCAGTCAAGGCTGAACACTGATCACTAAAGAAGCATCTAGACTGTATGTGTACCCTTGTCTTAGCTGGTAGGATTGGGAAAGGACTTTGGGAAATGAAGGGAAAAATGAAGTAAGGTTGGGGGGATGGAGGGAAGGGGAAATGGAAGGAAGTGGGACTACATGTTTCAAGAAAGGGAGGAATAGGGGCAGGGATGGATAGGGGCTTTCTGGACTGCAGACAGAGGGGGAGTTCTGATACAGGAAAGTATAGCTAGCACATTAAAAGAGGAAACTGTGACTCTATTTTCATGCCTGCTTTTGGAGCACATCAGTACTGGGTTTACTACCTGAAAGCAGACCTTGCCATCATGGCACTCCTCTCGCACAATGGAGGATTAAAATGCAAGTGGTCAGACCCTGGTGTGAATTCACATAGCTCCAGTGGCTGACCCAATGGGTTTGAAGCTTATGCTCCATAGCCCCCCCCCAAAAGAAGCTTATGGCATTTGAATATGTCTTTTAGCTGAGGTTACCTGTGCTGGTTGTATCTTTTCAAGAACCAAAACTCTTCAGATCAGTGAGAAAACATCCAAAATCTGAGTCAAACCCAGGATCCAGTACAGCTCCATAGGGAATTACAGTGGAGGATTCATCTTCTTAAGCTCGAATTAGCAGCATGCCTCAAAACTGGGCTATATGTGCTTAGGTTCAGCTGTTAACCGATGAATCGAAGACTGACCTTGCTGTTAAGCCATTACCCATCTGTATTTTAGGACTTCCAGAGATACACAAGGCTTCCAGAATCAAACAGTCACTTGTGGCTTCCCTAGTACTCACTGCTCCCCAAAGCTCTCAGTGCTCCTAGCTGTCTCTCTGCAATTTCCTGGCTAAAGGAGACCTGGAATGTAGAAGTGAATTCACCACCAGAGGCTCTGCCAGATTCCAGGGCTTCAGTGAAGCAATAAGAGATGTTTTAAAGTTGGAATGGCATGAAGATTGCTCTGAGTTCCCAATCAACTGTAGGGTAACTTAACCAACACGAACGTAACCCTTAAGGAGAAGCTGAATGATTTGGGTTTGAAGCATCAAAAACATGTACCAGGTTGTAATTACTGTTATACATGAACCAGGCAGATACCAAGTCTACTTTGAGCCTTTGATCCAGAAATGCAGGACCAAGAAGCAACAGGGAATGTGCCCAGTATGATGCTCTAACCATTTATCTAGAATGAAACAATTGGATAGAGGCAAATCCTTAGAAATGGTAATTCATATGCTGGATTTTCAACTTCACACAGTGCTGAAATCAAACAAATCCAGACCCAGCTTTGCTAAATACAGGTTCTTACCCCTGTATTTGAACTCATTCTGGGCAGAGAGATCATAGAATGGTTTGGAAGGGACCTTAAAGCTCACGCAGTTCCAACCCCTGCCACGGGCAGGGACCCCTTCCACTAGAGCAGCTTGCTCCAAGCCCCTGTGTCCAACCTGGCCTTGAACACTGCCAGGGATGGGGCAGTCACAGCTTCTCTGGGCACCCTGTGCCAGCGCCTCAGCACCCTCACAGGGAAGAGCTTGTGCCTAAGAGCTCAGCTCAGTCTCCCCTCTGGCAGTTTAAAGCCATTCCTCTTGGCCTGTCCCTAGAGGCCCTTGTCCAAAGCTCTCTCCACTATGGTAGGCAGTGCACATCCATGTTAAATACACAGCAGATGCAATGTGCAGCTTGCAGGCATTTTGCTGCTCTTTTCTAGCTTCTTTTGTGATGGGTCTCACACACCATCTAACATCAGGATATGTACGATAGGAACCAGATGCTGCTCTCCAGCACTCAGGTGTTCTGGCCCTTTAGTTATTTTGCTTTCCTGGCACTAGAACACTCTCAATCTTACTTAGGAAATGAAAGATTGTGGCTGACCTGCTTTTGTGTGGTTGCTTGGAGAAAACACGTACTCATGTGCATCCCAGATCTGTGTCCAGAAACGCTCTCCCTGCTCCTTGAGTCTCTTGTTTTCTCTGGACAAAGCAGAATGAAAAGGACACAGTTCTGATGTGGGAATGGTTTAGGAATACTTTGCAGAGCTGTACAAGCTTCTGCCATATGTAGGGCAGCGATGAATCATTGTCTTCTCCATGGCTTCACACCACACAAACAACATTAGTTTGCTGGACTGACTGCTGATTTACTGGGTGAGAAACCTCCAGGCAGTAAAACGCTGACCCACCATCACCGTCAGCTTTGCTTGCTGGTGCTTGCTGCTTCCTCATCTTCACAGGGAGATCTCTGGCTGAGGAACCTTGGAATTGTGTATTGCATGACTATAGGGATCCTTTCCTCTGTTCCTCTTTTTCCACTCCTTGCCTGACTACTGAAGACTTGGAGCCAATTAAAGTTCAAGTCATTCATGAACTCTGGTTTCTTCCTTGTAGGCTGAGGCCAATTTGTCTGTAATTGCTGGAGCAGATGAAAGGAGAGGATGGATGATTGCAGGTGACTAAGCTGGTATGTCATAACAAGTTATGTCCCTCAGCTGAGATTTACCTGCTGTGATTTCACTCTCTGAAGTTCACTTTTCTGTGTTCCCTCTGCATTGTGTCAGCCAAGACAGGTGGGAATTTGAGCTGGCTGAAGAAACACCCAGGACAAATCTTATGTGGACCAGTCCCTGGATCCCTCCTGCACAAATAGCTGTGCTTGTGCAGTGCAGGGAGTAGCTCAGGAGCAGAGATGCACAGGAGAGTAAGAACTATTGATAGGGGTACTGCTGACAGAGAAGGAATCTGGACTGCTCCTTGTGCTGGATGTCTGATGGGGAGGAAACTGTGGTTCTGACATGATCAATGTAAAACTGATTGTGCAACAGAGTTGGTCTTTGAGGCTGGGGCCTGGTGCCAGGCTTCTTCCCACAGGACACAAGAGATCCTTTGGAGGAGTAAGAAATCCTCTTTTCAACCCATACTGGAAAAGGGTCACCTGACTTATCCTGAGTACAAGGCCCATGGCAGGGGCTTGGAACTAGACGGTCTTTAAGGTCCCTTCCAGTCCAAACCAGTCTGTGATTCTATATCTCACTCATTCCTCTCTCAAATACCAGACTGGTTTGCAGTCGTAGCTCTCTATCCCTTTCTGATGATGTTCATGGACATCCCTAATGCCTTTTCCTCCTTTTGTTTGGGAACACCCTCTGAAATATCCAGCAATATTTCAGACAAAAGAGTCTTAAAATTTGGGTAGTTTCAGAAAATGGTAAGAATTGTATTCCCAGGATATTCCTTCAGGAGATCTCTTTGTGGCTCCAAGTTACTACAGAGTAGGATAATAAAACATAATGCAGTTCTGAATATTCTGGTGAGATCCCTTGGCAGTAAGCTTTAATTGAAACAATTTCTGAACTGAGTTAATCTGTGTGTACACAGTCTTTCCTCAACTTCAAGCAGCTTTAAAAGCAGTTATAACTAAAGTCCTGGTTATTTCGTGCTGCTTTATACATAGAATCAATGCACAGTTTGGGTTGGAAGGGACCTTAAAGCTCATCCAGTCTCAACCCCCTGCCACAGGCAGGCACATCTTCCACTAGAGCAGCTTGCTCCAAGCCCCTGTGTCCAGCCTGGCCTTGAACACTGCCAGGGATGGGGCAGCCACAGCTTCTCTGGGCACCCTGTGCCAGCGCCTCAGCACCCTCACAGGGAAGAGCTTCTGCCTAAGAGCTCATCTCAGTCTCCCCTGTTCTGGCAGGTTAAAGCCATTCCCCTTGGCCTGTCCCTATAGGCCCTTGTCCCAAGCCCCTCTCCAGCTTTCCTGCAGCCCCTTTAGGCACTGGAGCTGCTCTCAGGTCTCCCCTTCAGGAGCCTTCTCTTCTCCAGGCTCACCCAGCCCAGCTCTCTCAGCCTGGCTCCAGAGCAGAGCTGCTCCAGCCCTCGCAGCATCTCCATGGCCTCCTCTGGCCTCGCTCCAACAGCTCCACGTCCCTCTTGTGCTGCTGCCCCAGAGCTGGATCAGGGCTGCAGGGGGGGTCTCCCCAGAGCGCAGCAGAGGGGCAGGATCCCCTCCCTGAGCTGCTGCTCATGCTGAGCGTACAAGTGCAGCTGTAGCAGGGCTGGTGGATCAATGCACCCACTGTGTATGGATCAGGCCTTTGGTCAACCACTGCAATTACCTCACCCATCTGTTATCCATGTGGTTGAATGAATGGGTTTGGTAAAATATCTTATCGAACAAGGCATGTTTATGAGTATTTTGGACCAATCCCTCCCCTGGCTTCAAGAGTTCATTTTTTGTATTATCAGGATGCATCCATGTTTCTGAAAAGGCTAAATTGTGGCCATCTTCAAAGTGAAGTGGCTGATCCACTCCCTTATACTGGCATGAGCATCTTCCTGTTGCCACCAGATGACAGACAACAGACAGGCCACACTCCAGGGAGCTCAGGTAATCTGTCTATGTGGTTTTAAATCCAGTTAAATACACCCAACAGAGGGAAGTAATTCCCAGAGGGCAATTCCCCACCGGGTTCCACTGGCTGGGATCAGCCCCACTGCAGCCTGCTCACACTCATCGCAGTCCCACACTCACATTCTCACTTCCTCCATCGGTTTATTTTTGCCCTGTTCCTTTTTCTGCTGGTTCAGCTCCCAAACAAACTTATCACAGGAACTGATAAATGTTGGGACAAGGGGGAAGGGCAGGACTGTGGCAGCGCTGCCCTAATCTGTCCTCCATGGGCTATACACTGGGTCTAAAAGGCAGCTCGGGGGTGGTGACCTGTGTTATTTGTGTCTCTTTTGTCTCTGTCTACCTAATGTTTTACTTGTAGACAGCATGTTCCATGCCCACAACCTCATGCTCTGTTCTTGTCAGTGGTGCAGCTGTACGATCATAGAGTCATGAAATGGTTTGGGTTAGAATCATAGAATCACAGAATGGTTTGCGTTGGAAAGGACCTTAAGATCATCCAGTTCCAACCTCCTGCCATGGGCAGGGACACCTCACACTAATCTCACCCAAGGCTCTGTCTAACCTGGCCTTGAACACCGACAGGGATGGAGCATTCACAACCTCCCTGGGCAACCCATTCCAGTGCCTCAGCACCCTAACAGGAAAGAACTTCTTCCTTATATCCAATCTAAACTTCCCCTGTTTCAGTTTGAACCCGTTACCCCTTGTCCTATTCCTACAGTCCCTAATGAAGAGTCCCTCCCCAGCATCCCTGTAGCCCCCCTTCAGACACTGGAAGCTGCTCAGAGGTCTCCACGCAGCTTCTCTTTTCCAGGCTGAAGAGCCCCAACTTTTGCATCCTGTCTCCATACAGGAGCTGCTCCAGCCCCTGATCATCCTCATGGCCTCCTCTGGACTTGTTCCAACAGCTCCATGTCCTTTTTATGTTGAAGGGACCTTAAAGCTCATCCAGTTCCACCCCCCTGCCACGGGCAGGGCCACCTTCCCTCACATGGGAAGCGCTTCTTCCCATTCGAATTCAATCAAATCCCTCCTCTCTTTCTCTCAGCAGAGCACAAGCACTGAGCCCGAACTCCTGCGAGCAGGCTGACAAGTTCCCAGCAAGCTTTGGATCCGCATCCCTGCACTCCACACAGCGCAACCCCTCAGCCTGTGCAGCTCGGCAGCAGGGCAGGGCCCGGCTTAGTTCCTGCCTTTTGGGGATCACCCAGCCCTCACCGGACCCGGCTCTGCGATAGCACAGCGCCATAGGGCCAACAGCATAGAGTCACTGCAGCGCTGCACGCCAAGGGTGTGATCACCGGTGATCCGCTCCCCGCCTTGTGCCTCCCGTGATGGCGTGAGCCACAAGCGCTTTGCCTTCCCTTCCTCCTTCCCTTCCTCCTTCCTTCCTTCACTCCACCAAGGTGCGGGCTCCCCGGGGCACCACAGCGGCGAGACAAGCGCCGAACCGCGGATCTGCTGCCCCGAGAAGGTACCACAAGCCCTTAAAACTTTCCATCCCGTATCCGCATCCGATACCAACCCCCCCCCCCCGCTTCACCGTCCGATGCTCCCCCTTCCCCGGTCCCGCCCCACCGCGCCCCGGTGCCCACCTTGGCGGCCGCCTGGAGCCAATGGCTGCGGCAAGGCGGGGAGCGGAGGGGAGGGAAGGGAAGGGAAAGGGAAGGAGAAGGAAGGCGGTGCTGGGGAGCCGGGCAGCACCTTGCGGCGGGCGGAAGGTGAGTCCCGCCGGGCCGGGGAAAGGGCATTTCCTCGTCGCTTGTTGTTGTGGAGCCGGGAAGTTTGCGCAGGGGTTGAGCTGCTGGGGTTTTGCTGCTTCTCTTCATCCTTTTTTTTTCTCCTCCTTTTCTTATCGGAGGGGGTTTCTGAGCCTGGCTCCCTCCTGCCTCCCCCCTCCTGCTCATTCATTTAACAAAGGGTTATCTTTAGCCGCGGTTCTGGGGTCCCAGAGCTAAAGGTTGGGGTGAGAATCGGGGCTTAGCCCGTAGTTTGTGCTGCGCACCCCGCGCTGCCTTCGGCTGGAGGAGCGGGTGCTGTGGGCAGACACAAAGAGTTAAGGAGCTGGACCCTTGCTGGGCGATGGGGTGATGCAGCCCCGGGGCTTTGTGTTGCTGGTGCGAAGGGATGGGATGGTTTTTAACCCCCCTCGCCCGTGTGTGTGGATGAAGCCGTGGCTTTTGGCTAAGAAAGTACTTAAAAGGAAAGCTGAACTTGGGATCGTGGGATAATTCAGATTGGGAGCGAGCTCAGGAGCTCTCTAGCCCAGCCCCGAAAGCAGGGGCTTCAGCCGAGGGTAGCATTGAATGGCCACCGTCAGATGGTGGCACCTCTGGGTGCTCCTCAGTGGGAGCCCGAGGGAGAGGCAGCACCCCCAGAACGAGCTCTGCGGGGCAGCAGCGCTTCTCTCCTCCACCCTGCATGGAAATGCCCCTCTCCACAGCTCCCCCGTGCCTCCAATCCCTGTCCCTGCTCCTTTTGTTATCCAGAGGGCTTCGCATTCAGGAGAGCCGGCTCCATCCGTGTGTGTGTGTGCGTCGTGGTGCATCGGCTCCTGCTGAGCACTACTCGATCCTCAGTCCGACATTAACTCCAGGAGTTCTTCAGGAGCAGGATTTATAAATAGATGTCAAAACCGGGCTCATTGCTGGGACTTTTTACGTGCTGTAAGCCATGTGCTTTGTGGGCTGATTAAATATGGTATATAAATATATATGTGTGTTTAAGAACAGCTGTAAAAGCTCAGTGAGCCAGGCTTTACAAAGTGAAAGCAGGTATTGCACTGGATGAAATGGCTGTGCCAGGCACAGACGGAAGAGGGTTTGTTCTCTTTGCTTGCACTTACTCTTTGTACAGTGCCTCATGGATGCCTCTCCCTGAACCGCCTCCCCCTTCTTACCTGGAGTTTCCTGGTGTTGCACACATTACACAGGAGCATCTTCCTGCCTGGTGCTCCAACACCTCTCCGTGTGTTAATGCACTCACTTATTAGGATAAGGCTGGAAAACCTCCTCTTTGGGGGTGTGTGTGTCTGCCAAATGCATAGAAATTGCTTTTCCCTGCCTATTTTCTGTGGGTAAGTCAGCAGAGTGAAGCTCTGCGCAGAGAACAGAAGGTACAGTGAGAATCTAAACGGGTCTGAATACTGCATGTGTTTAACCATGGATTGCCCCTGTCTTGTGCCACGGGATGGAATTTGTTCTTGGCTGTACTGGAGAACAAAGCTGGAGTTTGAGGCTGGATAAGCTGGGTGGGTATTCAGCCGTTTTGAGCCCTGTGGGGAGGGCCCAGCTGCTTTCAATGAGGTGATATAACTGCTGTTCATTGACTTGGAAATGAAAGCTGAAAATAAAATTGAAGAGGAAAGCGTTCTTGTAGCGTGACAGCGGGAATGCCTTGACTGGTTGTAGGGAATATTGTGTGCTCTGGAGGTTGCTCAGAAAAGAAAGGGGAGGGAATGGCTTTAACTGCCTGAGGGGAGACTGAGCTGAGCTCTTAGGCACAAGCTCTTCCCTGGGGGGGTGCTGAGGTGCTGGCACAGGGTGCCCAGAGAAGCTGTGGCTGCCCCATCCGTGGCAGTGTTCAAGGCCAGGTTGGACACAGGGGCTTGGAGCAAGCTGCTCTAGTGGAAGGTGTCCCTGCCTGTGGCAGGGGTTGGGACTGGAGGAGCTTTAAGGTCCCTTCCAATACAAACCATTCTATGAAATGTAAGCTTTTATCCATGCTTTTCCATGCAGCATGGGGATATTGGAGGAAACATGTGACAGGTCCAGTGGAACTTGCACAGGTGGAAATGCTTTGCTTGTTTTTTGTGTCTCTGCATTGCTCCCCCTGGATTAAACCCTCTTCTTGCCCAAGAAGCCAAAGAACTGTTTGATTACTGCTGATTCCTGTGTAGCCTTTTCCAGGTCCATGCAGACCTTTTTCCTCAGCTTTGACCACCAGTGCATGAAATCCACCTACTTCACTAAGTAGGGTTTTGGTTCTGTCTTGCTTTCTGAATGAGTGAGCTGCAGTGCTGCTTCTTCCCTTCTTTTCCCTTTCGTGCACCTGTGCCACTTCCTCCATGTGGGAAGTTCTGTCATTTCAGAAGTCACTGGTTCAGCTCCAGTTCCCTTCTATTCGCCGGCGTCTGCGCAACCACCGAGAGCTGCAATGGGCTTTTCTCAGCAGCAAAATACAGAAATGCCCCAGAGCTCCACCCTGAAAGGGCTCTGGTTTTACAGCTCATCCTGTCTGCAGCAGACAACAGAAGCAAACAGGCTTTGTGAAGGATGCGGCCACTCGTTGTGAGGAGGTGCAAGAAACGGACTGAAACCAGGCGACTAAAACCAAAAGTCACACTTTTTAAGTCAATTGTTAGCCCTTTGACAGGTACAAGAATATCTTTTGTTGGTGTTTTCCTCTGTGGGAAGGTGAAAGAATATTGTGTGTCAGAATTGTATTGGGTGAAAGAATCATCATAAAATCCCAGAGTGGTTTGGGTTGGAAGGGACCTTAAAGCTCACCCAGTCCCAACCCCTGCCACGGGCAGGGACACCTTCCACTAGAGCAGCTTGCTCCAAGCCCCTGTGTCCAACCTGGCCTTGAACACTGCCACAGATGGGGCAGCCACAGCTTCTCTGGGCACCCTGTGCCAGCGCCTCAGCACCCTCACAGGGAAGAGCTTCTGCCCAAGAGCTCATCTCAGTCTCCCCTCTGGCAGGTTCAAGCCATTCCCCTTGGCCTGTCCCTAGAGGCCCTTGTCCAAAGCCCCTCTCCAGCTTTCCTGCAGCCCCTTTAAGGTATTGAAGGAGCCTTTTTCTATGCCTGTCAAGGAGCTGAACTCATTCTTGACCTGATGTCTTGGTCTGTGTCAGAGTTGGGAGGATGTGGGAGTGCTCTGCTTGATGCTGAGGGGTTGCTCTTACAGAGAAATTAGTTTGTGTAGTGTGTGGCTCTTGTTAAGCACTTGCACAGCTCCCACCTGGGAGGACCCTCTTTGCACCCCTGTTCCCAGAGATGGGAATGGCTGGTCCTTTCCCTTCGGTGGCAGCAGAACTTGGACTGTCAGCAGCTGCTCACTCATGCGGCACATAAGTCGCTGTGATCAGTTCTTCCCGTCTGAGCATAAGGCATGTGATGCTCTTCAGGAATGAATAGCTTAAAAACATCTGATGCTGCTCATGCTAACCAGGATGTACTCAAGTTTAGGCTTGAAATTCCTGACTTTGGGAGCAGTGTGCGTGGCTCATGTGGCTGTGAGGGATAACACTCAATGACTGCTCCTTTGTGCAGGAGAGGAAGACTTTACTCCTGTCCCTCCTGAGGCACATCCTTGGAGCTTTAGGCAGGGGTGTTTGGGTCCTCCCATGCTCTCTCCTGTGCAGCACTGGTGGTGGGGTGATTGTCGCAGGTTCAGAGCCCTTGAGGGGGTTCACATGATGCAAACGGGGATGCTCAGAGCTGAACGGGTCTCCCCAAGCTCTCAGTATGATCAGGAGAGAGTTAAAGGCCCTTTCAGGATGTGGTACGTGGAGCCTTTCAGTAGGCGTTTTAATATAGGTCAGAAAGTTGCACTCTAAAAATGCTGATTCCTCTTTGTAGCCACCCTGATTTCCTCTGTCTCCCATGCAGTGTGCTCCTCTGTGGCAGCAGGTATCTGAGAGGAGCTTCGCTTACTCCTTGCTGTAGGGATGCAGGCAGGCAGCATTGCAACCAAATCATGGAATCCCATGGTTTCGGTTGGAAGGGACCTTAAAGCTCATCCAGTCCCAACCCCTGCCACAGGCAGGCACATCTTCCACTAGAGCAGCTTGCTCCAAGCCCCTGTGTCCAACCTGGCCTTGAACACTGCCAGGGATGGGGCAGCCACAGCTTCTCTGGGCACCCTGTGCCAGCGCCTCAGCACCCTCCCAGGGAAGAGCTTCTGCCTAAGAGCTCATCTCAGTCTCCCCTCGGGCAGGTTAAAGCCATTCCCCTTGGTCTGTCCCTACAGGCCCTTGTCCCAAGCCCCTCTCCAGCTTTCCTGCAGCCTCTTTAGTTGCACAGCTTGTACCAGTTCCCTTCATTTTAGCACTTGTCTGTTGGGGTTGAGGGAAGAGGAAACTCGAGAGTGATCTGATTAAGTGCATTTCCAGGGGAATTTGAAGAAAAAGTGGAAGTTTTCTGTTCTGCTTTATGCACTAATACACCCCTGGTGAATTGTTTGGGCTCTGGAGTATCTGCTTAAACTGGTAATCCAAAAGTTCCTGATTCCAGATGTATATTTGACGATGGCCTTTCTCTATCTCTCGCATCTAGTCTGAGACGCAGGTTAAACAGTAACTTTCCTGCCATGATTTCTTTCCTTCTTGCAGGCTGTGCTCTTTGGACCTGCTGTATAGGTGGTTTATTTCACTCTTAAGCTGATTTAACTGCTTTAAAGTCATTGTGTTCCCTACTTCCTCTCTAGAATTGGTCAAGTAATGTGGTGGCAAATCGGGCATCCTTTTATCACCTTAGGCTTAGAAAAAGGAGGAGAAAAAACAAGTTAATGGTATAGCAGAAAGACCCTAATTTGGAAGAGCCAGGCCAGCTCAGAAGGCTGCAGAAATAGCAACCAAATGTACTTCGTGCAATGAAACCATTTCTCCTGCAGTGGCCCTTTGTGATCCCAATTACCAACGTGTGTGATACCCTGTGGCTGCCTGGAAGTGCAGGATGCCCTGCTGAAACACTTCCTTCACCTGGGTAACTGTGGGACCACAGGGATGTCGAGTGGTGCATGCAAGTGGGGCCCAAATCTTGTTTTGTGCCTTATTTCCCCTCTTCTTTTTCCATCGTCAGTCCATACCTGTAATCTAAATGGAGAATGGGGAGGAAAATAACTGCTGTACATAGAACCCCAGACTGGTTTGGGTTGGAAGGGACCTTAAAGCTCATCCAGTTCCAATCCCCTGCCACGGGCAGGGACACCTTGCAGCTTGCTCCAAGCTCCTGTGTCCAACCTGGCCTTGAACACTGCCAGGGATGGGGCAGCCACAGCTTCTCTGGGCACCCTGTGCCAGCGCCTCAGCACCCTCCCAGGGAAGAGCTTCTGCCTAAGAGCTCAGCTCAGTCTCCCCTTTGGCAGGTTAAAGGCAGGTTAAAGCTGGAGTGAGAAATAGTTCACTTTGAACTGATGGCTTGTTTCATGTGGGTTTTCTCCTCATTCACATATAGAACCTTAGTGTAATGTGAAATACCATATCACTCCTTTAGCATAAAGCTTTTCCAATGGAGATTATTTTGTGCATCTACGTATTCCCAGTTGCACGTTCTCTGCTGATCTTAAAATGGTTTTGGCTTGGCCACTTAACCCAAACTCCTCCATAGCAAGAGAAGCGATTCCTTTTGTGGAACTTGGGTTTAATCTCTGTGAGTGAACATCTTGCAGTTTCAGCAATGAATTCAACTTAAAGGCCTTGTGCCAGGTTGCATCTCTCCTTTGCCTTTAGTAGGTGTTCCAAGAATGTCTTATCTCAGTCATGCTTTGGAGAGGCTGGAAGTCACAGCTGAACGTAGAATTCATGTGCTTCCAGAGTACAGGCTTGTTTGGGATGAAGGGAAAGCTGATTTCCTTCAGCAGCAGAAGGGAGGAATATTCCAACCGCCCCTTTTCCAATCCCATCTATATTGAAGCTGGGTGTATTTCAGCTCCAGGCCCTGTGCTAGCACCTGTGTAAGGTGCAGTGTGTGTTTGAGCTTATTCCTGAGCTCTATAACCCAGTGTGTATGGAGCCAGGCTGAGAAAGTTGGAGCTGTTCAGCCTGGAGAAGAGAAGCTGCGTGGAGACCTCAGAGCAGCTTCCAGTGTCTGAAGGGGGGCTACTAGGATGCTGTGGAGGGACTCTTCATTAGCGACTGTAGTGATAGGACAAGGGGTAACGGGTTAAAACTGAAAGAGGGTAAGTTTAGATTGGATATAAGGAAGAAGTTCTTTACTGTCAGGGTGGTGAGGCACTGGAATGGGTTGCCCAGGGAAGTTGTGAATGCTCCATCCCTGTCAGTGTTCAAGGCCAGGATGGACA